CTGTCTGTCAAAATGCTAAAAATCCTTTTGCCCCAGATGACATAATTGACAATTTATCAATTTTTTATCAAGACTGGCTCAAGGCCACTGAATAAGGACAAAATTCGCTACCAGTGACTTATGTATGTGCATTATATATGACGAAAAGGCTGTAGGAATGTTTTTCTATGCCATGTCCTTTTGGGATGTGTGTGATCATGGCTCTCCACAATCTCCTATCCTTTGTAGCTCTGAGCAACGTTTATGACTTTGAGGCGAGTAAAAAAAAAAAAAAAAAAAACGGCAACCAGCGAGTAAATTTAAGCTCTCCCAGCTGGTATTTCAACCTTGAGTCGTTCCTTCTTGAGTTCTGTCTCAAAATCGCACTAAGACTGTTCTTGCCGCCAACCGTGAACGTCACTCGAAGAACTGCCCCACTGGGAAAAAAGTAGTTGCTTTTATATTTGTCCATATACCCATAATCCCTTGCGTCTTCCCATAATGCATTGCATCTTTATTGCATAAAAATGCAATGCAAGTCCCCCCTCATTCTTTTACGTTATCTGGCCAAGGACGGATTACGGCAGAGCGGTAAGTGCTTTTTTCTCCCTCATTTCAACTGCAGTAGCTTTACATGCTAAGCAAATACGGGCTCTTTTTTGGCGGGGACAAGGCAAGTCGCGACCAATTGTGCTCGTCCCAGGTTCTGTCTCATGTCCACCACAGACTTTGCCAACCCTTCCTGCTCCCTCTTACAGCTTTCATTTACACAAAATTACCTCTGATAAGTCCTGTGAGTATTAAATTTTCCAAGCCTTCTGTGGAGTGAGTAACCATGGTCAAATACAAGATAAGTAACAGAATTGTCCAACAAACAGAATTGACAAAGTTTGCAATAACCAATAACGAGAAAAAGGACAGGTCAAAAAATAATATAAAGCTAGCAAACAATAACAAAAACCTCCTCGATTTTGGCTTTGCTCACATTGCATGAGGACACATGCAAACCACCTCATCTTCTCTTATCATGCAGTATGTGTCAAAAATTTCACAAAAAATTCATAAAATAGATGTTCTCAGGCTTCATGTCTGAGCAACAGGAGGGCGAAAAATGAAAAAATACAATTTTTTTTCATTTTTTAGCTGTTGTAACATTATCGTGTGTGCTGTTTTTTTGTTTTTTTTTCTTTAATGTCCTCATTTCAGAAAGCATTGGGCTATTTTCAGGTGTCCTCTTTTATTTCTCTATTCAGGTGTCCTCTTTTATTTCTCTATTCAGGTGTCCACTTTTATTTCTCTCTACTTTCTCTATTCAGGTGTCCTCTTTTATTTCTCTCTACTTTCAATCAACCTCTTATTCGGTATGATGGAGAATCCGCCCTACAGTAATATTCACCAGTTGGCTGACCCTGAAATTATATACCCGAACGTTGAAACTGGAAAGAAATGAGACGTCAGTCAAAAATCTGGAAAAATATATTGAGGATGAAATTTCAGAGCTGAGTGTGTGTTATTAGATAGCAGCATTTAAGCAGAAGTTTTCAGTTTTTCTTTTTCTCCATTTCTCTGGGTTGACACTTGTTTATCCCTGTATAGACTACATGTATCTATGACTGGGGGATACATAGATGGGCGTGTTGTGTGTGTGTGTATACTATATACTGAGTAGTCAAAATGTTATGACACCCTGCTTAATAAGGTGTTGCTCCTCCATGTATCCATCTTAACTCAACACGTATGAATCCAACAAAGGAGTAGATAGGTTCATAACCCCCCCCCAGTCTTTTGAACAGGAGTTGAGGTTTATCCCTTCTCTCCTGTTTAGGATTGGGTTTCCAGTTCCTTCTAAAGTTTACTTCAGCTCTATACTCCTAACACTTGTTCTTTCCTAAGCTAATAGAATACCGCACATTAACCCTCTACCTTGAGTTGCTCTTGAGCTTTGTATTGGGTTAATATATCGTGTAAAAAAAAAAAAAAAAAAAATCTGTAAAACTTTCTTTTGGGATCTGGTGACTGGATTTTAGCAGCAAATTCTGCACATTAGGAAGTGAAGATTTTGAAGAGAGCCCTTGTCCATCCAAAATATCCCATAAGTGCCCAAGAGGGTGAGATTCAGAGAGTTGATAGGGCAGGGGTCTGCAACCTTTTGGACAGTGAGGGCCAATCAACTATGGAAGTGTCTAGAAGAGGGCCATGAAACTTAATATGATGTAAAATTGTATGTTAATAAAGAAAACAAATTTAAGGCAATTTTAATTACAAACTGTAACTCAGACAAAAACAAAGCAATTCTGTTCTTAGACTAAAAATTTAATGCAGTTAGAAATTTAAAATTAATGCTTAATACGGCATAATTTAATGAGATACTTGATTTGGTCTGAGTATGGACAGTTTATGAATGTCTAGGGAGTTTTTTTACTTGTAACTTTTGGCATTTGTTGTTTGTGATATTGTAGAGATTTGTTAAGATTCTGTTCATAAATTGTTTAGCCAGAGGAGAGGAAACATTTTTAGAGGTGCTGTATGCAAGTGCCATGTTGGGATCTTCATTGGTTTTATGGCTTTTTTGAGGTGTTTTTTTTTTTTTTTTTTTTTTTTATAGTCTGTATGTTTCTTAATACCATGTCATTTGCTTGAGGATAGTTTGGACTGGTAATTATGTGGTTGAAATCACATTCTTTGGCAAATGTCTCAAAGTTGATTGATGTGAATTCGGGTCAGTTGTTGCTGACAACTATTTTAGTTATACCAAATTTTTAGAATGTGGTTTTCAGTTTTTTGATGACTGTTGATCATTGGTAGTCATTTATTTTGTGCATGTAAAAGTACCTTATTGTATAGTCCAGGGGTAGGCAAACTTTTGGACAGCAAGGGCCAATCAACTTTGGTAGTATCTATAGGAGGGACACGAAATTAAATCATACTTATTATAAAACCCAGTGTGTGTGTGTCTGTACATTTATATATTGGATCAGATTTCCTACATTTTTCAACCAATTTCAACAAAACTTCACAGGACTACGTAATATTACCTTGCGGTGGTTCTGACAGCGCCAAAAATTGGAAAAACACAATTGTTTTTGCACGAAATCAATTTGAAAACACGATTCAGAGGCATTGCGAAAATGAAAGGGGGACAACTCATATCGAGTTATACTTATTATAAAACCCAGTTTGTTTGTGTGTGTGTTCATTTATATATGGGATCGGATTTCCTACATTTTTCAACCGATTTTAACAAAACTTCACTTTTTTTTTTTTTTTTGGCAGGTAGTTTTTCTTATTGTCTTGCACACTTTTTTCTTTATTTTTACATTCAGCATGCTTTAAAAATTCCATTTACAAGACAATTGTTTATAATAAAATTCTATTCAATCGGTAGACTCATAACGATTGAAAACAATGTTTTTGTTTGAGTTTGGGTTTGACCAATTTGTAAAAAGAGAAAAGAAAAAAAATGATTAAGACATGCGTGTCTGTCAACCTTAAACAATAATCTTTGCAATTTTATTTTTCAGTCTTTATGATGGTCGATACTTGATCTATCTCTTACTGTTACATCCCCGGGCAACGCCGGGCTCTGCTGCTAGTATAATATAAAATTGTATGTAAATAAAGAAAAAACAAGAAATTTAAGACAATTTTTATTACAAACTGTAACTAACACAAACAAAGCAATTCTGTTGTTAGACTAAAAATGTAATGCAGTTAGCAAATCGAATATTGATGCTTAATAAGGCATAATTTAATGAGACACATAATTCTGTTTATTGTGTGAAAGCTTCTGCATGTCATGTGATATATTTGTTGATGCCAGGAGCAAAACATTATCCAGGTGGTCACCACACAACTTTGATCTTAAATAACTTTTAGTTTTTTCATTTTTGAAAAAAGCTGTTCACAAACATATCTACTTGAAAATAATGATGCCATACATTTTGCATTACTTGAGATGTTTTTATATTTTCCACTTGGCAATACATATTTCATGTAGAAGTCAACAGTGGATTCAGAATTAAATTTTGCTTTCAATAATTGGTCACATTGTAAGTTAATTAACTCCAGCTTATATTCTTAAGTCACTTGCTCTGCTTCTGTTTCATAAGGAGTACCAAATAATTTAAATAAATTTTCATATTGACAGAAGTCATCAAAATGGGAGGAAAACTCTTGTATCAAATCCTTAATCGCCCTACTACAAGCAAAACTCTTACCAATTTTAAAGTTTAGTTACCTTTAGTACCTGAAATGGAAGCCTGTTTAATGATCAGGCAACAGTGCTGTCAAATTTCTTTTGCATTTTTCACAATGCCAGTGAATGGCAAGCCATTGATCAACTAATGATTCACTAATTGACAGGTTTTTCACACAAAGCCTGGGGCCCAGATTAAACTCACTAGCAGGCTGGATATGGCCTATCGGCCAGGGGTTGCTGACACCCGTGATAGAGCAACATGGTTAAGGCTTTTTGATGTTATTGAAACCTTGTTCTGTTGAAAAATTCCACTAAAAAGACTTATGATTATGGAGTTACTTACTTTTAATATCTATTAGGCTGAGTCATAACTACCATTTCACTCCAAGCAAGGCAATAAAGCCACTAAGACACAAGGGGGTTACTGAGTGTGAGAGAATATGAGAAAAAGAAAACATTAAGGAGAGAGAGAGAGAGAGAGAGAAAACTAAAAAACAGGATTTAAGAAGACAAGTTAACGACTGACATTGCATTTAAATTTTTAAAGATCAAAGTTGGCTGTGAAGCAAGAAACTGGAAGAGTTTCACAAGCAAGTGCGAGAGATGTAAGTGTTAGCATAGAACTTATGGTTACATCTAGCAATTTCAACTGCAAATTGATGAGACCTTGCAGCCAATCTAGTACTGCACTTAAATTCATAAAATCTAGGTACCATAGAACAGAGGTTGGCAATTTATGGCATATGTGGCATGCCAAGCAATTTCCAATGGCACACAGCTGCAAATGACATCAGAAAGTATGAACCAAGAACTATTACAATGCAAGAAAGATATTTAGCTGTTTCAAAACTGCTCACATGTTGGACTCCCATTAATAATAAAAACTTTGAAAAACAGTTTATTTCTATTAACATATTTTTGTATATATTACAATATAAAATATATTGTAGAATAGGTATATTGACCTTGACTTGTATAAAAATCCGTATGCCATTGGCACATTGAAAACCCGAAGTCAGCACAGTCAGCAAAAGGTTGCCGACCCCTGCCATAGAGGAGAGTTCATCCAAACAATTACCTTGGAAATATTTATTGAAAAGGCAGAGGGGAGCCACATTATTGGGGTGGGAAAATGACTGGTCAGGACCAGTAACATTGCAAATTCTTCTTTAGATTTTATCAAGAATCTCTAAATATGTAGCAAGAATACCAGACCAGATGTGGCAGCAATATTCAAAGTATAGACTTATAAATATTTAAGATAGATTCTGGTGAGAGAAATTGTCTAGCACGAAAGTGAACCAACTTTTCTAACAACAGACTTAGCAGGTGATTCAATTGTAATCTTTTGACTTCATGTCAGCAGAAAATGTTAGCCTGAGAAGGTGCAATGAGTCACTTTCCAGGAGGTTAGAATCTGCCATGCTGACAGAAGGCAAAAAGGATCCCCCCCCCCACACACAGACACAAAAGAAAAAAAACAACCTAATACTAATAGATAGTGCATAAATTATTTTTTAACTTAATATAAACATAATGAAAACGAAAAAACCAGCATCAATTGCTAAAACCTCCTGACGAGTGGGCTGAATGATTAAAAAAATGTTCGTCTATGAAACTTTGGTGTTAGATTGCTGAATATAACATGAATCAGCTAAGTTACAATATTTGTATTTTATATATATATATATAAATAAAATGTGTGTGCTATTTTTAATTTATTTTGTTTAAATGTTATTTTTGATGGATCCTCATATTCGAGTAGAAGCCCTGTTTTTAAATTAAACAGTATTTTTTTTCCAACTCCATCTACCGGCCTGAATATTTGATAAATTCCATCACAAAAAATATTCAGGCTGGTAGATATAGTTTGATAATTAAAAAAAAATGAGGCTTTTACTCAAATATGAGTATCCATCAAAAAATAATGTTTAAACAAAATAAATTAAAAATAACACACACATCTATAGCTAAAGAGAAAGCTATAACAGTGTGGAAAAAATTTGTGTGATGTATTTTGTCTTTGAGGACTACATCAGACTGATGTAATGGAATAACCTGTGACGCCCATGAGTAACTACACTATAGGTAGTAACTACCTATAAGTATCTGTAAGTCAATGGACTACGGAGACTAGCTGGGATCTGTCCCAGCTAGACAGTCAAACTCTCTGCCTTTGGGCAGAGAGGAACCCAGACGAGGCTCTGTCGAAGAGCAGAGTCTTGTTCAGGGAGTTTGACCGACCCGATCCCGTTTATGCGGGTTATACAGGCATTTTTTGGCTGAGCCTACAGGCTTAGATAACCCACGTTAAACTCGGCCTTGTGCCAAATCTACCTTCATGCAGGGGGGGGGCTAGTAAATACCAACTAGCTGGGATCTGTTGAGTACGACTCAGTCTTCCACAAGAACTACCGACATTCCAATAGTAGTACTCACTACTGGATTGACTTGCGATGACCTTGTGCATAACTGTTACTTTTATTCTTATTGTATTGTTTTTTTACAATAAACCTTTACTTATTTTATCTACCTTTTTTTTCTTCTTTTTTTTTCTTTTTTTTTTCTTCTTTCTTTTCTCTTTTTTTTTCTTCTTTCTTTTCTCTTTTTTTTCTTCTTTTTTTTCTTTTTTTTTCTTCTTTTTTTCTCTTCTTTTTTTTCTTCTTTTTTTCTTTTTTTTTTTTTTCTTTTTTTTTTTCTTTTTTTTTTTTTTTTTTTTTTTTTTTTTTTTTTTTTTTTTTTTTTTTTTTTTTTTTTTTTTTTTTTTTTTTTTTTTTTTTTTTTTCTTCTTTTTTTTTCTTCTTTTTTTTTCTTTTTTTTTTTCTTCAATTATTAGCACGGGATATAACACAGACTAAAGTGACATTTGTGTTGATGCGAATATACATGCGCAAGGGAAAGAGAGTAAGGTGCTGAGAATATTAATTTTTTTTTTTTTTCTTAAGTAGGTTTTGGGTCTATATAGTGTAGTTGATTTCATTTAATTTCTTTTTGTTATTAAATATCCCATGTTGTTTTCCTGCAAATTTTCTATTATGACTATGTTCGGTAAAATTTGGCACATGCCACAATCTCCTTTCTCTTAAAGACATATTGAAGGCATTAACATGCCAGCTTCCAATGTGACGCAGGAAATGAAAAACGCAGGCCAGTCTTGTGGCATTAGTTCTCAAGTGCAGTGACAAAGATAACTAGCCTCTTGAATGTGGTCAAGTCCTTCATGCTCAAGGTCAAGAAGAACCTGTAGGCCTTTAGCAAAGAAGTACCATTCATAGCCAAGTGAAAGAAACCTTCTAAGTGGTCAGATGGCTATGAAAATGATAGAATTAATCTAGGTCTAGGATATCATCAATCATGATCCCAGCAAGTTAGTGAGTGTCATCAGTCTACTGTTGGATATGTGATAAGTAAAGATATCGAGTTTTTGATAAGGCAGTTCATATTTGTCAAGACCCTGATTGAAGCCTTTTGGAAGAAGATGGTACGCTTTGGTTTTTGTCAATGAAAACTTTGATTTGGTGAAAAGTAGGAATGTCAAGTCACTCTGTGCTGACCACAACATAGGTCAGTATTCCAGAGAAACTTTTTTTCATCATCATCCTGGAACTGTCCCAGAAAACAACTTTATCTGCCAAATATTTTAAATTATCCAAAAAAACTTTTTTTTTTTCTTTTATCATTTATAGTTGTTTGTAGTATTGTTGGTTCAAATTGTGTATAGGAATGACTGCAAAAATGTCCCCCTCCCAAAATGTATAGACAAATCGTACAGATGCATGCTGGGATTTCTTCCTAGACAATCAGATAGGCCACTTCTTGTTCTCATCCGACTTGGTTCTGTTCTTTCTTTTGTATTCAAATCAGAATGATGTCATTGATCTGTATCCCCTTTGGAGTATAAATGCTATTTTTAGTTTGTGAGTTTTCTGCTTTATTGTTACTTTGCCTACTTTTGCCTTGTGTATATTGTTTGCTTAATGTTATTTTTGCCCTGTTCTTTTCATTTATTTGTCATCGTTTATTGCAAACATTGTCAATTCTGTTTGATGGGCATTTCTGCCCATTACATTTTAACCAATTTATATCAGGAATGACTACAAAATACTCCCTCCCCCCAATTTATAGACAAAATCACACAAATGCATGCTGGGATTTTTTTCATAAGCAATAAGATAGGTCACTTCTCTGACTCGGTTCCAGTCTTGAAGCCAGAACATTTCGATTGCTCACTTGTCCTCATCCCCTTTGGATTGCTCACTTGTCCTCATCCCCTTTCGATTGCTCACTTGTCCTCATCCCCTTTTGCTCACTTGTCCTCATCCCCTTTCGATTGCTCACTTGTCCTTATCCCCTTTGATTGCTCACTTGTCCTTATCCCCTTTGGATTGCTCACTTGTCCTTATCCCCTTTGGATTGCTCACTTGTCCTCATCCCCTTTGGATTGCTCACTTGTCCTCATCCCCTTTCGATTGCTCACTTGTCCTTATCCCCTTTGGATTGCTCACTTGTCCTCATCCCCTTTGGATTGCTCACTTGTCCTCATCCCCTTTGGATTGCTCACTTGTCCTCATCCCCTTTCGGTTGCTCACTTGTCCTCATCCCCTTTCGGTTGCTCACTTGTCCTCATCCCCTTTCGGTTGCTCACTTGTCCTCATCCCCTTTCGATTGCTCACTTGTCCTCATCCCCTTTCGATTGCTCACTTGTCCTTATCCCCTTTCATATGTTAATGCCTTATTTTATGAACATTTTGCCTTGTATATATTCTTAGTTTGCTTCATATTACGTTTTACCCTGTTCTTTTCTCTCATTATTCCTCATTACAAACTTTGTCAAATCTGTTCAGTATTTCTGCCAGTTACATTTAACCAAGGCCAATTACTCTACAAGCATAATAAAAGACACAATTAAAATATTTACAAAAGAAATTAAAAAAAAAAAAAAAAATGTTTAAAGTCGTATTAAAGTTTTAGAAAATGAATAAATACAGGGGAGGGACAGAAATATCACCCCCCCCCCCGCCCCAATAATGGTAAGGCATTGGCTAATATCTTACCATTGTGTGGGAGATAGTTTTGCTGCACCCTGTGCAAAAACAGTTTAGTTAAATATGTATAGAAATGTCAACTTAATAATCAATAATAAAATTTTTTTAAAGAGATTAAAAAAAAAAGATTACTAGAAGTAAACTTATATTTTAAAATAAAATTTTATTCTTTTAATTTACTTTCTATGAATATTTTTTCTTATCGACTATTTCATAGAAAATCCCCAAAATTTTAATAAAATTTAAATCACTAACAAACATCAAATTAAATGATTTGTAGACAGTCTAGAGCAGTGGTTCTCAATCATTCTACATGGACCCTAGGGGTCCATGTAATATTTCGGGGGTCCACAGGCAAAACTCAATTGTTGTGTTAATTAAAATAGTAATAATAATTATTATTATAATTATAGTAGAATATTTTATTTGTATTAAATTAGTTTTCATTTAAAAATAAAAATTAATCCCGATACTATTTCTTTGATAATTAAAACCTTAAAATTTATATTAGTGAAGAATAGAAAATTGTTCTTATGTCCAATAGCTATGAAGGGGTCCACCAAGATAAAAAGGGGAAAGGGGTCCATGGGTAAAAAAAGGTTGAGATCCACTGGTCTAGAGACATTCAAATTTATATCAAACATTATAATCTTTATGAACCCCCAAAATAACACTTTCAAAGTAAAACAAAGTAACAGCATCTGTTTGTAGCCTTTTTTTTACAAAGAAAATTAGTGACACCTTCTCTCATAACTTCCTTCTCTCTTTTTCTGTCTATGGGTTTTTTCTTCTCTACCCCTTCAATATCAATATATAACTTCCGTTAAGTTAACCATTTAAATGTGTCAATGTCTGCTAACTCACTCATGTCTTCTCTCTCCCCCCTCACTTCCTCACTTCGTTAATTTACATATGTTTAATACGGCCCGTCAAAAATGTGTAAATTTTCTTTTCATTTTTGTAAGTAAAGTCTGATCTGCAGTCCTTTAAAAGGGCTGTGGTGAAATAATTTATTACATGGAACCTTAAAGTGGTCTGTTTTTATTTAAATTATTTGCTCTGGATTTACATTGAGCTCTCTGGATTTTATCCTCCTTAGGTTTACCCATACAGATTACCTAGTTTTTCATAAACTAATATATAATATATATATATATATATATATATATATATATATATATATATATATATATATTATGCCCAGATCATGTGAATCTGTGTAATACTGGTTCTCATCTGATCATTGAAGTTAAGCAACATTAAACCTGGTCAGTTCCTAGATGGGTGACTGCTTGGGAATACCAGGTGCTGTAAGCTTGGATATATAGGTGTGTATTGAATAACGACCTGGAATAACAAATCGGAGAGCTGAGTTTGAATTCCAGTTGGGTTCGTTATATTCACTTTTGTGCACATAACCTTGGGAAAGGTATGAATCCATCTGTTTCCCAGCCATGGGTTAAATAGTGAAACTTATCTCCCAAAAATTCTTACAATCCCAAAATCTTTGTTTTAAATAACCTTAAAAAGTTTGATAAGCCATAAAAAACAATCAATAAACATTGCTGTGTGGGTGGGGGAAGAAATATGCTTGGGCAGGCATCTGTGACTGGGATTAGTTAGCGGTCTCAGCAGGAAGGTGTTCTCAGAATCTTCTGACTATTTAAAATACCAAAATCCTGAAAAACCTTATAAAACTACAACAAATGTAATGTCAATCGACATCTCTAGTTGCCTTGGTCTATCCACTATCCTTCTCCTCATTCCTTTCCTCTATCATTCCTATCTGCTCTCGCTCCAAATTCTCTATGACCCCTTGCGTGCTAGTGGCTTCCCCCCTTGCTAGGGGTGAAATGTTTAAAAAAAAAAAAAAAAAATGGAATGTTCGGACATTTAGTAACAATTCCCCACCCCCCAGGGTAGTTACCCTTGAGTAAAGTTTGAAAGTTTAAGATCTTCTACAATATTCAAAACCTCAAATGACAAGGATATTAATCAAAACAGTTGATGTCTGATAGCATCTGCTACTAGAGTAACACCCAGAAATTTATATAAAGGTCCCCAATGAGGGTTGCTAAGAACATTGCTGTTTAAATAAAATCACATTTTAATTAAAAATGCAAAAGGAATTTCAGTTTAACATGGTTTATGAAGAATTCTCTTGCTGCTTTTATCCGTAGACTAACATTCTGGCTAGATCATTCCAGAATGTTGAGTGTCATTTCTATTTTGAAGATACGCAACCCTATCATTATTCACAGTTCAAGAAATAACTGTCTGATCAATCGAGGTGACATGTGAAAGGTGTAAGCAACGTTTGGCTCATTGGATATTTTTAATGGCCACTGAATCTGTTCTAGTGTCCTTTGCTCTGATCAATTCTCTGATCAATGCAAAGATAGGAAAAGAAATGATACACTTCTCTTTCTTAGCTTTTCTTTTCTCTTCTCTTTCTTTTCTCTTTCTCTTCCTTTTCTTTTCTTTTCTCTTTTTTCTTTTTTTTTCTTTCTTTTTTTTCTTTTTTTTTTTTTTTCTTTTTCTTTTTTTTTTTTCTTTCTTTTTTTTTTTTTCTTTTTTATCTTTCTTTTTTATCTTTCTCTTTTATCTTTCTCTTTTTTATCTTTCTTTTTTATCTTTCTCTTCTTTCTTTTTATCTTTCTCTTTTATCTTTCTTTTTATCTTTCTTTTTTTATCTTTTTTTTTTCTTTTTTTCTTTTTTTTTCTTTTTTTTCTTTTTTTTTCTTTTTTTTTTTCTTTTTTTTTCTTTTTTTTTGTTTCTCTTTTTTCTTTCTCTTTTTTTTTTTTCTTTCTTTTTTTTCTTTCTCTTTTTTTCTTTTTTTTTTTTCTCTTTTTCTTTTTCTTTTTCTTTCTTTTTTCTTTCTCACTTTTTCTTTCTCACTTTTTTCTCACTTTTTTTTTTGTTTTTCTTTTTCTTTCTTTCTCTTTTCATTTTTTTTCTTTTTTTTTTTTTTTTTTTTCTTTTTCTTTCTCTTTTCTTTCTCTTTTTCTTTTTTTTTTTCTTTTCTTTTTTTTTCTCTTTTTCCTTTTTGATTTTTCTTTCTCTTTTTTTCTTTTCTCTTTTTCTTTCTTTTTTCTTTTTTTCTTTTCTTTCTTTTTTTCTTTTTTTTTCTTTTCTTTCTTTTTTTTTTTTCTTTTTTTTCTCTTTTTCTTTCTCTTTTTTTCTTTTTCTCTTTTTCTTTCTCTTTTTTTCTTTTTCTCTTTTTCTTTCTCTTTTTTTCTTTTTCTCTTTTTCTTTCTTTTCTCAAAGACTTTATTAA